GATTGATTTACGTCATATAAGTGACAGCTGGCAAACAGAGTGGTGGGTAAAGAACTGGATTCAAATTTGTTGGGACTACCACTATAGCCCAGGCCAGTTGTCTTTAATATATACCTCGACATAACTGCAACAAGGAGTGAGTGAGTGAGTTGGGTTTTACACGGCTTTTAACAGTATTCCAGTTATATCGCGGCGTGTCAGCTTAATGTGGGAGGAAAGCCCGAAGTGATGCAGGTCTCAGACGTTTACCACTTCGGTGAAACCCACGAGCACGGGTATGGTGCTGACAAACCTAGAAACATAATTGGGGCGAACCGGGATTCGAACCCACAATCATAGGTTTCTGGCGTGCCCAAGGGATGCAACTCTGCACAGCGAATCGCGGCGCCTTAGACGACTGGGCCACCCGTGCCGCCTGCAACAAGGATTATTCATAATATAATGGTGTTTCCGATTAACAGGCCAACGTTATCACGATCCGATAAATTTGCAAATGAGGCCATATAGAAGGATCTACTTTTAAAAAGCCCCATGCATCGATGTGACGTTTACATGCTAAAACATATTGTTAGACAAGGGCCTCCCGATGTGTGTGTAATTGCAAATTCTAATAATAAATAGGGCAGTTTGTATAGAGACGGGAACTGAATGTTACCTTGACCTTTGCTAAACCTAGTTTTGTATTCATACGCGGGTGCTAAAGTTAATTCAGTGAGTGCAAATATTTTATGCAAGACAAAAATCAAATGATGACGATTGAAGTTATGCTGACGATTGTGTGTTTACTTATCGAAAATATATTATACTAGGCAAAGATTCGCATAAAACAACTTTAATAAATCTTATTAATGATATTAAGTGTACAGAAACACAAACATTTAATAATATCAATCATTCGATCATTAATATCATCCAGGATATCTGATCCCAGTTATAGCTTCCCAAGAGATAACTTTCAGTTCTCTCCAGAAGTTGCGTCCAAATCATTCTGTGCAGGTAACAATACATCAATTCAGACATCAAGAGAAACACATTTGCAGCCTTTTGCAATACTATCCCGTTGAAAAATGTCAGATTGGGTTGATGTGTGACTTTCACCATCCACAATCAAGCTTAAGCCGAGTATCGCCTTCAGAGATTTATCGACTAGTATAGACTCGTTGATTTTGCCTTGAGAGGCTTGTTACTCTCGAGACCAGATGGGTCAGAGTTGGAGAATCACTCTGTCAAAAACGAGTTTCAAAACACATGGATTCCCCTCATGGTAATGGCTTTGTCTGCGAGGTCGATAATCCGAAGGAAAGAGGATAATGGTTTCCAATTGACAGGAACGTTAAGAGGAAGCAATATTTTATTTAAGTTATTTCTACCATTAAAAACCCGCCATACGGTGCTAGAATTGTGAGATGATCTCTGGAGACAGCTACGCACAATGGGTTTTAATCAGCCACTTTAGGTTAAAGTGACGTTATTCCGTTTATTCACAATATTAGCACTAAAGGATGCTTGAGACCTATGACATTTAAGCTCTGGAAACAGAGACTTAAAAACGTTGACTGGGGCTATGTCTTTCTCGTAAATCTAAAACATAAAACAGTTGCCGATGAAATAATTTCAAGTGATTTAGATCAGCCATGTGCGGATTTCGTTCAAACATAATTATGAAGGTTTTTTGCAATTAATCAACACGCTTTATAAAATGGTGCAATCATCGGTGAAAGGTACGTGCTGGGAATTGGTTATGCGCGTTCTTTATAAAGGTAGGGTCAGAGTGATACTGCAGATTGTGCATGTCACCACAAGCCCGGGAGTGGAGGGGGGAGGGGGGGGGGGGGGGGGGGGGTGGAAGGGGGGCGACACTACTTTCTTGTTCCCAGCTCGACAAACGCAAGTCGACAATCACGTCACAATTAGATTTTAAGATCATCCGATTTATCACGCCAAAGACAGTAATTGCAAAGATTTCCCGAAGGCGTTGGTGTTCTTCACCCAATGCGAAACATCCATGAAACTGCGACTGTGGTAGAGATAACATGTTTTCACTCGAACGGTTTGTTTGTTTGTTTGTTTGTTTGTTTAACGCCGCAGTATGCATTATTCCATCTATATCACTACGTTTTTAAAATTCTCGTGATTGGACCAGACATACCAGTGATTGATGTGGTCGTCTTATCATCTGGGGATGATGACATGAAATCAACTGACTGCTATCAACTGAATGCTATCAACTGACTCCTATCAACTGATTCCAATCAGCCGATTTCATTGTAGTTGTCAGGTTTTAGAGTCAATTCAAAAGTTGACAGTACTGATGCATGGTTCTGGCAGATGACTACCTCAGTTAACATCCTGACCTTGTTTGCCATGTCTCATATACTAAGTACTCTGATCAAACAATCAATGGTTAATCTTTGACACAGGGACCTGTGGTAAATGTGCTGCATCCAGCAATATATCTCTTTTTGTACATAGTTTTATGGAGCTTTGGAATCTGGACCAAAAGAGGAATGGACATGTCTCCAGGTTATAGAGTCAAGCCAAAGGTCGATGGTACTGATGCGTAGACTTTGGCAGATCAGTTAACGTATTAGCGTTATATGTGGCGCTTAAACGGACCCAAACAACAAAGGGAGATAGCTGATAGCCCTGAAGACAAGACAGAACGATGCAACAACACGCACCATAAAGATGTCACACCTAGTCGTGCTGCCAGTAGCACTGTAGCGCACCCTCACGTGCCGACCCCGCATCTATAACCACCTGCCTGTACTCCTGACAGTGACGACTCGAGTAGGAAGCTTTACTTTACACAGTGTACGGGCAGGGTGACAGTGTGATGAAGAGCGCACAGCCACGCTCCACACAGCCTCTACAAGTAAAGCCCCTGGAACAATCCACAGTACATACACTGTTCTGGAGTTTGGAGATATTTGACGTGTTATTCTGTTACCAAACAGTGCCGATGTAATGTAACAATGTTATGTAACAGTGTCATGAAGGTCTTGATAACACATGTAACACATGTAACACACATGTAACACACATGTAACACACATGTAATACATCTCTTTAATTACGATAAACAAACAAGAAACGGTTATTCGATGGTCATGTACCTGAAATCATAGGTATCAGTTGTGTTTTTGATGTTTTGTGTTTTCATCCTCGTGACGTTTTGAAAACGTTTGTATTGTTTTCGTCAAATCCATTTTTGATGTGCATACTTTCTTTTGCAAGGCAGTTTAAACTGAAAATGGTTATTTTCCTGACAATTAATCAGCTGTTTTCACTTGAGTTATCGCCATTATTACATATGTCATCTTACGTAGTTTCGTCATCTTGTTAGCACTACCTTGATTAATGACTTACTCTGTGTAAGAAGGAAATCAGTAGCTACCTAATATACACCCGGTATAGGATATCACCGAACAACATCATAGCCATCTGGAACGTCACAGCCATCTTGAACGTCACAGCCATGTGGAACGTCACAGGCATGTGGAACGTCACAGCCATGTGGAACGTCACAGCCTTGTGGAACGTCACAGTCGTGTGGAACGTCACAGCCATGTGGAACGTCACAGCCATGTGGAACGTCACAGCAATGTGGAACGTCACAGCTATCTGGAACGTCACAGCCATGTGGAACGTCACAGCAATGTGGAACGTCACAGGCATGTGGAACGTCACAGCCATGTGGAACGTCACAGCCTTGTGGAACGTCACAGTCGTGTGGAACGTCACAGCCATGTGGAACGTCACAGCCATGTGGAACGTCACAGCAATGTGGAACGTCACAGCCATCTGGAACGTCACAGCCATGTGGAACGTCACAGCAATGTGGAACGTCACAGGCATGTGGAACGTCACAGCCATGTGGAACGTCACAGCCTTGTGGAACGTCACAGTCGTGTGGAACGTCACAGTCGTGTGGAACGTCACAGGCATGTGGAACGTCACATCCATGTTTACATATTCGTATCCAAAGAACACACAAAAGGCGAATTCCCAACACCCACCAATAAGTGTAAAACTGCCGGTAGCACAATTGTAAGTGAAGGCCAAGGTCACAATGTTGGCCCTAGCATCCATTCTGTTATTGACTACTAAATCGAGCGTGACATTTGTGTCAAAGTAAGGCAAGCCATAACCTTGTTTAGTCATAAAATTACAGTCGACGTCCATTATCCCGAATATTAAACGTCAACGCCAGAGAATAGCCAGTCTCGCTTATCCGCCGAGACAGATTCCATTGAGCATAAAAGGGAAATTAGTGGTGAAAAGAATATGAATGGATCACTGAAAACCATATCGCCCCTTTACATTGTCTAAGCTTTGAAAAGCTGTTTTGAAATAAACTCCGAGTATTGAGTAAAAACTCGTTTGAACTTTGTACTTGAAGTTCAACATCAAGTAAAAAGTTGTGTCCAAATGCACAAAAAAGCGACGAGAAAAGCTAATAACGAGGAAGCTCCAAGCCAAACACAATACGTCAGCAAATATACGCACTGCTGTAATATAAATCTCGTAAAGAGATCGGATTGGGTCATGGACTTGCTCATGTTGAATATAAAAATAGAACTCCTTTAAAAAGAACCCTCTTATCCAATCAGAATCACACAATTCAATCATACCAGTACTTGATGTTGCCTAAAAACCCAAAACCAGAAGTCTTAAGAAGGAAAAAGGTGCTTCTTGTCAATCATATAAACTCTTCTAATGATTTTCAAGAAAGTTTTTTTAAACTTGAAAATTTGGCGGCTTTATTTGGTCAAAAAGGGCCATAATCATACGCTTCAAGCATCACAGGGATAAAGTCATATATATTGAAACCTGATAATTCAGACACCTCATTCCTCCAAAACCGTACATATCCACGATCCATTTAACAGTTTAATGGAACGATAAAAATATCGTTTCTGACTTAAAGGGTGTCTTTCCGGAATCACAATGAATCCGGTTTAAGGAGTGTCAATTGTTTTGAGAGAAATATTGCCTACCTGTAATCTGGTACACTTCCACGTCGACAAGCTGGAGGTTATCCGCCGTCACCGTCGTGGCGGTATCTCCCTGCATGTGGAAACTTGTGCCGAAGTTGGTACTCCCGTTCACCTGGAAATATTGGCCGTTCTTAGGAACTGACCCACTGAATGCGAACAAGTCGTGGCCACCTCCGAACGTAGGGCCGTACGAGCCGAGACAGTATATTGCATTGGACCCGTTCTTGGCCGGGTACTTTTGGGGATCGAACTTCCCTTTGAAGTACAACCTGAATAGGAACGCACTCTGATCGGTCAGCCACATGCCGTTGACGTTGGAGGTCCAGTTCAGGGCGGTGTAGCCCCCGAAGACGCAGTCCAGGGAGTTGTACAGCACTGTGACTGTGGGGCCCTTGTTGTCGCACTTCTGATGGAACACTTGAGCACTGCAGCCATCTCTCGAGGCTTTGTACAACAGGTTGAAACTCTTGTTGTCGCCTAGCCACGCCGTCAGCTGCTTCTTGTCACTCTTCTGAAGCACCTTGGGCACCTTGCTGCTGCTTGACGTCTTCATCGCACTCTTCTTCTTCGGGCTAGCAGCACATCTGTAACACAGCGGGACATGGATTACACGGGACTTGTACAGCGGGACATGGCTTACACGGGACTTGTACAGCGGGACATGGCTTACACGGGAGACGTGTAGAGGGACATGGATTACACGGGACTTGTACAGCGGGACATGGATTACACGGGAGACGTGTAGCGGGACATGGATTACACGGGAGACGTGTAGCGGGACATGGATTACACGGGAGACGTGTAGCGGGACATGGATTACACGGGAGACGTGTAGAGGGACATGGATTACACGGGAGACGTGTAGCGGGACATGGATTACACGGGAGACGTGTAGAGGGACATGGATTACACGGGAGACGTGTAGCGGGACATGGATTACACGGGAGACGTGTAGAGGGACATGGATTACACGGGAGACGTGTAGCGGGACATCGATTACACGGGAGACGTGTAGCGGGACATGGATTACACGGGAGACGTGTAGCGGGACATCGATTACACGGGAGACGTGTAGCGGGACATCGATTACACGGGAGACGTGTAGAGGGACATCGATTACACGGGAGACGTGTAGCGGGACATGGATTACACGGGAGACGTGTAGAGGGACATGGATTATACGGGAGACGTGTAGCGGGACATGGATTACACGGGAGACGTGTAGCGGGACATGGATTACACGGGAGACGTGTAGCGGGACATGGATTACACGGGAGACGTGTAGCGGGACATGGATTATACGGGAGACGTGTAGCGGGACATGGATTACACGGGAGACGTGTCACGAGTGACCATCCCACTGCCTTCTGTACGTCTCATGGTTAAATGGATATAAACACGTAGTTTGTTTGTTGTTTAACGCCGCACTCAGCAACATATCAGCTATATGACGACAGTCTGTAAATAATTGAGTCTGGAGCAGACAATCCAGTGATTGACATCATAAACATCGATCAACGCAAATGGGATACTATGACAAGCATCAACCAAGTCAGCGAGCATGACCACCCGATACCGTTAGTCGCCTCTTACGACAAGCATAGTCGCCTTTTACGGCGAGCATGAGTTGCTGAAAACCTATTCTACCCCGGATCTTCACGGATCAAGCACGTTGTAACACTAACTGAGTAGTATTATGAGTTCAAGGATAAATTACTATATTTATCTTAAAACATAAAATCGATATTTCACTGGTGTGAAGCAACGTGTTGTAACTCGAGTAAAATAACACCTTCCGCCGGAACTACTTTCAGTAGTAAATGACACAGTGGTCTGCAGAGTAGGATCGTGAAGGCCATTAAGAAAATAAAACATTTGTCTTGTCTTGTCATACAACATTTTCATCTCACCCGGGGCCAGAAAGAAAGTCACATTTTCACTCATGTCTGCGCCATTCGTGAAAATATCAACTTGGTCAGCTTAGGCCATGAGATCAACAAGAGTGAGTGAGTGAGTATGGTTTTACGCCGTTTTTAGCAATATTCCAGCAATATCACGGCGGGGAACACCAGAAATGGGCCTCACACATTGTACCCATGGCGGGAATCGAACCCGGGTCTTCGGCGTGACGAGCGAACGCTTTAACCACTAGGCTACCCGATCAACAAGACAAAGCATCTTCCATGCCTCTGTTGCTGCACCTGAACAGAAAGTACAGCCGAGGCGCCTTTATTCAGTTTACTCTGGGTGTTCCTCAACCGGTCTTTATGTTCAATAACACACCCTTGGAAGGTAATATGGCATGTGAATTTAGGACAGACAGATAGACACAGTATATTTAGTGCCCCAGGCATAATACAAACAAGATGGGAAGATATAATTCAATTTAGTTCAAGGCCACATGAGCTAAACGTTATTGATGAAATATTGTTTTGATGGCGTTTGACATTTCTTGAAATAAGCAGACTTAACCGAAGTATCAAAATATCCTCGTCAATATGTGCTGAATATGCTACAAATCATGAGGAAATAAGGTTGATAACATTTCATAGAAAATAATGACATAGTGTCAAAATCTTTATTCTCAGGTCAACAACTTCAGAGAAAAGGCGATTGTAGTTCATCCTCTGGAGATTTAGATTCAAAGCATCGTGGCAAATGCTGTAAATAACCACATACAATAGCCCACTTGGTATGGAACACTCGTCATCATTTACTTTGAAAGCCCCAAGTTATTACCTAACTGACATCCACTGGCCTCAATAGTTTATTATGAACGTGCCAGGAATGTTTTCAGCATCTCCCTGTCTTGATCTTAAGATTTGTAGAAATAGAATTGCCCATCTGGGATGAGATCGTGCACCTCCTGCCTCAGTGAAGACTCATTCCACTGATTACCTACATTACCGGGAGTGGGGATGTAAGTGGCCATCTCCCCTCACGGAACGTTCTGGAATAGCGCTCAAAGAAGTCCTGTAAATGTCACACCGCTTTGTGATGAAGACGAAGAAGACTGTGGATAACAGCTGACTAGACATAATCCGTATTGAGTGTTCTGAGCTACCGAAGTCTCATTAATGTATTATTTGTGTTTAAACGTGAGTATATGATTCCATTTAAATGATTCCTCACCTGCCATCAATAGTGCACTAAATACAAAACGATGATGGACTAAAACGAGATTCCCTTGGGATATTCGTGAAAAACTGAAATGAAATTTGGAACCTTCCGGAAGAACATGTTCTGACTTCCGGTAGCGCCCATGAGCGAAGTTCAAGGTCATTGTGTAGTTGGCAAGGGACCAAGAGGTATCGTTTCAAGGTTTGCAGGACAGTAATAATTCTAACCTCTGAATAGCAGGAGAGATTGGGTGGGCTATACGCCGTTTTTAGCAATATTCTAGCAATATGACGGGGGACACATAGAGAATCTCACCCGAGTGTCTTTTAATATCAAATATATCAACAGTTGATAAAAGTGGAAAAATTCCGAGGCTTGCCGAGGATATTTGCCACTTTTATCAACGAGTGTTGATATTTTTTATATCAAAAGACACGAGGGTGAGATTATATTTATCATCCAACATCATTCTTCCAACTTTTTCAATTTGTAGACAGTAATTAGCAGTGTCTTCAATGTAAAAAGTACTGCTAACAGCTTCAGTAGCAGAGCCATTAGTGATGTCATTTGATTGTGACGTCATGGTAACCAGTGATGTCACAATCGTCTGTAATTTCATTGCAGCGATATCTACAGTGTAGATATTGCTTGATCTCATCAAAGCGATGTCTCCTGTGGGAGCCAGTTTTGGATGATAAATGAGTTTCACACTAGATTGCAGGGAGATCATGGCGTTACACTGTATGTAAAGTAGGACACCGTCCTAGAATTCTTAGAATATGTATGTGCCTTTGGTGATAAGTACATACGATGCACGTTTTTAATGAGACACTTTATCTTTCAAGTCATGGAATCAACAGCCCTTGACCTATTCGTTTAAAATACCAGACAATTACTTACTTTAAAATAGTCCCCCGGTAAGCCGATACATGAGCACTCCATTAAATGCTTTAATAAAGTCTTTAAAAAAATACCTTTAATTTAATTAAACGAGACAAGGAGACATTTTATTGACATTGACGCAAAAGTTAAGCCGTATCAAGTTTAAGACCGTCATAAATAACGCTGACATGTGAGAGGCCGTCATCCATCTACCCACGTTATTGTGAACACGTCAAACAGAGCAGCAAACAGAACACAGTTGAATGTGATGATGAGCTTGGTCTGTATTTTCACACAGAGACAAGCGATGTAAACGACGTCATGATGGGCCTCCAGATCGTGTGACAGGTCAATTAGCCAATTAGAACGCCTCATCAAACCCTCAATAACGTAACACTGTCGGGAGACGTGCCGATGTGGCTACAAACCAGCGATGACGGGATGTACGAAAACAACCATTACACATGCCACTCCATCGTTAACATACGTGGTTTCCATCAGATTTGGATGATGATGGTGAGTTTTTGCTCGGAGATATTTTCCTGAAACATTTCATATTCAAAAATCTCAAGACCCCTCCAGCTATAACAGAGATCAGGGACAGAAAGATATCTACCACTCTGACTCCCAACAGCACCCATGGATTTGTTTCCAAGCAGTTTCTTTCAGAAGTTGTATTCGTGTGAAGGTTTGGGCGTGGGATAAGATGCCACCAAGACCTAGTTCATGATGGACGTTTAAATTGGATTTGGTTGTTCAATCGGTTCAACGTGACAGGAATACGCACAGCGTATTTTCCTAATGGTATTTAAATGTACCACTGACCATGACAGATGGTAGAATAATTCACGACAATAGACGCGGACATTAACACGTACCGCTCCTTCCATAACGGGTTACAACAGGATTTTAATTACAGAATCTATCAAAATTCAACGCAATTAAACAAGTGACCTGTCCTTTAATAAAATCGTTATAAGAGATCTTCTGGAATCGGCAAAACTTTGGCTACAGGTAAGGTGGGTAACGAAATGACATGTGCAATTGGGTTTAATGGTGTAATCCTGGCAGCATGTAATAGCAGGACTAAGTAAGGGTAAACAGCGTTAGAAAGGCGAAACCATAACATAGCTCGTTACAATATTTGTCTTCTTGATCCAGCAGCAGGGACGGCTTACTGGGTTCACACATCTCCGTCTTCGTGGAGGAGCGACCTTTGATGAAGTGAAGGTGGTGTTTGGGAAGCTAATCGCTCTCAAGTCCACCAAGCCGGGATCTCCTGCTCGAGGACGGATCAATGGCGCTGACATTTCATGTCCTTTGATACCACAGCTGGCTCATCTCCAAGGGCATATAACATGTTTTAGATATTGAGTCACTATGGGTCATCAGAACCGATAAAGCTGATAGGGAGAATTTGGCCAAAAGAAAGGTCAGATATGACGAGCTGACGTCCAAAGCTGCATTTTTAGAACGCAATGAAAGTTTCTCGGAGCATGACGCACAGCGATACAATTGCCCGTGCCGGATCTCTACTTTGCTATCCTGGGTTATACAGGTAGTATCGTTCAATATCAACAAG